AAAAAAAAAAAAGCATGGTTTATTGAATAATCTAGGTTGCTGTTGTTTCGGTGCTAAATTTGACCTTGATGGTTCTGTCTGAGCTTCGCCCTCATCCCAAAAACACAAATCCAAACTCAACTGTTACCAAACTGTTCCACAACATTCTCCCATAGATTCTTGAAATTAAGACATTCCCACTTATGAAAAAACAAATAGCCCTTCAAACCCCACAGCAAGAAGATTCAACAATAAGTACACTGTAAAAAAAATCCGTAAAATTTACGGTAAAAAACTGGCAGCTGTGGTTGCTGGAATTTTACCGTAAAAAATACGGTATCAAAACAAGCAGTAATTCTTTAACTGAAAATCACAATTTTACAAAAAAAAAACTTTTTCAGGATTTGGCTAAAATTAAATGCTGAATGTCTATTCGTTTTATGTGTGTGATATTATTAATGAGACAAGACAACAAGATCCTACATTATATACCATAATAAAATGCAAAGCCGTTTTAACCAGATACAGTTGTGATAGATCGCCAGAAAATATCCTTTCTGTCTGATACCCAAAACCAGTTCATTCATACAAAGTCTTGTCTGGTAGCACCGTATTTTGTCTGGTACCCAAACAGTTAATCATGCTAGCAACATGTTAATAGCATGCTAATCATGCTAGCCAAATGCTAGTCACTTTTTAATCATGCTAGCAACATGTTAATAGCATGCTAATCATGCTAGAAACATGCTAGCAACATGCTAGTAACTTGCTAATCATGCTAGCGACATGCTAGTCATTTGCTAATCATGCTAGAAACATGCTAGCAACATACTAGTAACTGGCTAATCATGCTAGCAACCTGCTAGTCATAGACTATTTCTATCTATCTATCTATCTGACTATTTCTATCTATCTATCTATCTGTCTATCTATCTCTGACAGACTGTATTGCCTTCAAAACATTCAAACTTTAAGCTTTTAAATCTACTTTAAACTTCAAACTATTTCAGACTGAAAGCCATAAAACTTAAAACTTTTTTAAACTTCTTAACCCTCTACCGCATGGTGTAGCCATATGGCAACATACTCTTTGTGTTCATTTCCTTGCCACTGTCTCTTTAAGAGAACATTCTCGTTTTTTTTGTTGGAAAGAGAAGA